TTAACAAAAGACCACTTACTAATAAACAACCTAGCTAATTTATTAATTATACTAGAGAAAGAAACATGACTAATTTTATTCAACAACTATGGGATTGTTGATGGTACCATCTTCCTTGTATAGTAACATAGATGGAAAATCACCTCTAAGGACCTGAACCTTGAACTTGAGCAAAGTATCACTTTGTTCCACGAGCTCGAAAACACAAACATCTCCAACCTTTAGATTGTTGTCCTCAGCAAATGCTCTCCACCTAGAGTCGAACCTTTTATTAGATGGTGTTTTGTCACCTAAATAAGCTGTCTCCCAGCTGTTTCCACCGCGAGTTAAGATGACCGGGATTGTTTTGTTGGGAAGGGCTTGAGAAAATTTTATAGGTAATATCTGGTACAATCAATGAATTAAAAGTCATTAGTCATTCTTCTTAAGCACCTATATTATGTCATATGTACTAGGAGTTGTGCTGTGGTGTAGTGTACAATACATGTATGATGTTATTTTGACACAAAGTTTCATGACATAATATGAATGTAAATTAAAGCTTTCTGTTCCTAAAAGTTTAACAGATGATCCAAGAAAAGTTAATAAGAAAGCATACCAGTTGATATTTATAAGCAACAAGGCCGACATGTGACTTGACAATAACTATAGGAAAGTAAGGCTTTCCTGAAAGTGGCTCGATATCAATATCCTTGCAGGAATCTGCAGCCACAGGTTCAACTTCAGATTCTAGTACAGGATCAGCTTCGGGTTCATGGTCAGGTTCAACTTCAAGTTTAAGTTCAACTTTAGGTTCTGGTACAGGATCGGCTTCGGGTTCATGGTCAGGTTCAAGTTCAACTCCATGATCAGACTCTGCCCACTCTGGTTCAGCTACTACTTGCTCATTATTTTGTTGTGGTTCTAATTTGTCACCCATTTCTATAACAGGAAATTTAAAGGCTCATAATATCAAAAAACTTTGCTCGAAAATTTCAATGTCAAGATGCAGATTATAAATGAATAGAAAGTAATGAACTAGCTGGCTTCAAATTTTTTAAGCAATAATTATAATTCATTAATAGCGAGTTAAACAAAGAACAACATTAATCAAACAGGACAATTGTTCTTTAATTAGGCTAGAATAAACTAGAAGGTTTAAGAATTTTCTCCCCTATACACACCAAATGTGTAATTTAGGCCGATTAAGAATGAAAACATGTCACATTTACTAAGGTCTCTATAGCTGATCCACCCCAATTAGGAATCTAACTTCTTTTGCTCGAATAATATTCATATCAAACTTTATTTATATCGGAGGTAGAATTTGATGTGATTTGTTTTCTTGTAACAAACTCATGTCTCATGGTTCTGTAACATCAATTAAGGATGCGTAGATTAGTAGATTTATCTTTATTTCGGGCAAAATTAACTTTATACCCCCACTTTTTATGTTTCCTCACACTAAAATCTCTTAAATACCCTTCAAAGTTGGGTCCATATTTAATACCCTTCAAACTTTAGGGAAAATGTTTAATCGTTGCACATAACCTGTAACGGATGTATTAATTGCACAAACCAACAAAGTGCATTTTCAAATGTATTTTTAATCTTTTACTCTACTAGAAAACAAAATTGTGGTATCTTTTGTGATTATTCCTAACATACTTCACACATGAGTTTACACTCTCCCCATTTCCTTAATTTCCGTGCAAAATAAGAAACAAATACAACTAATTGAGACCAAGGGACTAAAATAAAGGGAGTACAAAGCCCATTGCACAAGACATCCATTAAAATCAAAACAAGATGTAAAAAAAATGACAACAAATTCAAAAGAAAAGTTAGAAACAGACAGCAAAAAGCCCGTCAATAAAAATATTGGATCAAGGAGGATTGTCAAACATGCAACACATAATAAATAAAGTAAGTAAATAATCTGGAAAATGTCAGATCAAAAACAAAAATACAAGTATGAAGAAAACAGAAGATACCCCCATAAAAAAAAAAGCTGAAATTAAAAAACCCCAAATAAAGAAGTTGCTTAGAAGTAAGCAAATAAAGATATAATCTTGCAAAAAAATGGTAAGATATAAATAAAATTGAACCAAAAAAAGTACCTGAAAGCAAGCTATAGATTGCAAAAATGGTAAGATTTTGATGATTTTCTCTTTCACCTCTATTGCTCAAAGTCAGAGCAAAAGATTGCCTCAGCTAGACTGCTACACTAGCTTTCAATTTAGTTTCTGACTTACTTCAACTATTTTTCAGAATTCAGAGAGGTATTTATTTCCTGCATTTTATTTATTTATTACTTTTTTTATTACTTGCCTTGCCCTTGGGAAATTGATCACAGTTTTGGGCCTAAAGTTAAATTGGCTCCTAATTTAATAGTGTAATTAAATTTGGTTCAGGGAAAGGGAAAATAGCCAAATGGGGTTTATGGTTCATACACTACCTCTATTATTTATTTATTATTTTTTTTTCGGTAAATACTAGTTTATTTATCAAATAAATGAATTTTTGTTAATCTGGTGCCATTTTTGTAAATATATTGAAAAAGCATGGTCATTTATTCAGTATTTTTGGTGAGTTGTTCAATTACTGTTTAGTGAGGAAATTACACATGTACCCCTCAACTAGTACATAAAAAGACGCATGTACTTCTCCATTAGTAATTGAAAAAGACGATTATGCTCACAGATAAACAATTTATTTTTTTTAATTAGGGAATTAACTGGACACAACTCTTATTTTTTTTAATATGTATGCAACTACTCATTTACAAACGAGAGTTGTAAGAAAATTGAGCTATATTGTACGGGACTACGGGGTAGTGAATAAATTAAATACTTTCTTCGTTAAAGCTATACTTGATACGTAGTATTTTTGTAGACAACCGATCTTTCTACGTCGCTCCATATATCCAGTTACGGCGTTAGGTACTGCGTGGGTTACTTGATGGTAAAGCTTGATATGAACTCTATGAATTTATTGTAGGTAGTTGGTAATTTAAAGACCATCCAAAAGTAAGCTCTTTTAAGGCCAATTATCTCTTTAAAAATATAGCAAAATATAATTTCACAAACATTTGAGCAACTTGAGTTTTAAAACTCTATCAATTAAATTTATAGACAAGATTTGTCAATTGTACCAGTGAATTTGAGAATTGAAATAGAAAATTAGGTGTAATTTTGTGTAAGAAATTAAGTAAAATAAAGATTGGTCAATAGAATGAGGGAGAAGCAAAGATATGTTAAATATAAAAGGAAAAAACCAAAAAAAAAAACACTTTAGGTTTCTGTCCAAAAGAGTATAGTAAAAGAATAAAGATTAAAAAAATAAGTTCTGGAAAAAAAAATTTAATAATAAGGAGTATACTACAGCTTATGGCTAAGAATAGGAGTTGAACCCTCCCCTTATGTATTTGCGGATGCTATTTTAATTTAATAAAGCACTAACTTTTCCTAAAAAAAAAAAAGAATAGGAGTTGAACCCTTGACTTGCTTCCCTCACAAAACCAATTAATTATATCCGGCAAGCCTTTATTCATCAATTTTAGACTCATAATAACATCTTATACGATTTTTAGAGTGCTCATATGATGTTGGATCATATATTCATATGAGACATTTCGAGTTTCATTTAACAAATCACGTTATAATATTGTATAAAAGGGTGAATTGGAATGGAGTTAAATTCTATAATTTTCCTTACTAGTAGTGTATACACAATAATATATCTGGTTCAACTATTTAAAGTATACTATAAATTTAACTTAGATAATTATGTTTACATTTAAATATTATATACAAAATTATTAACCTGTGCGATAACCTTAAATGAATACGAGGTAAATAAAATGATCATTAGATCATCCCCATCGGATGCTTAATTGTACATGCGTGTAATTTAATAAAACTATGGCTGGGGATAGTAGCTACCTGATAGATATTATATTTAGGATAATATTTATCGCATATTAGGATATATTTATTGTATATTTTGTATGTTTATCGTATCTAGGATTCTTAACGTGTTTAGGCCTAGCGTTGTAAACTCTATATATTTGATCAATGGTACACACTCCAGATTGAGGAGCTTTCCCGAAATCTAACACTACCTAATGTGGGAAAACTAAAGAAATGAAGGGAGTGCTAACATTGGACATATAAAAGTTTAATAATGATGATGAAAAATACAACTTACAAACGTAAGTGTAAAAAAAAAAAAAATTATATGAAAAAATATATGTTGTTTATTTTCTTTTTTTTTTTTACAATAAAAATGCATATTTTAACATGTCTTATTCCAATCATTAATATTAAACTTTTTTACACTTACGTATGTATATTTTAACATCAAGGAAGATTATTTTTGTTGTAAAAAAATATATCTTATTTTTTTCCTTTTCTTTTATTTTAACATGTCTTATTCCAATCATTAATATTAAACTTCTTTTTACACTAACGTTTGTATATGAAAAATAATCTTCCTTGATGTTAAAATAAAAGAAAAGGAAACAATGTATATATGAAAAAATAACAATAAAAACAAGACATATACAAAGAAGCTACTTCGTATTTTGTTTAAAAAAAAAAACACTTTAAGATGGCCAGTTTCCGTAAGACGTGTTTTTGACACAATAATTCATCACTGACGTGTTTTTTCAAGTATTAGTGAATAGAGATACTTGGAAAAAAAAAAAAAAAAAAGCGCTCAATGTCCACTCTACATTAATTTTTTTTTTTTTCCTTTGAAGATCCATTAACTTATAGTTGTAGTCACAAATTCACAATGATAACACGTTACTTATTCATGACTTCTTCTAAAGTGAATATTATTAACCTTGTATGACCTAATCTGCATTGTAGGCTTGTAGCATTAAATAACCGCCAACTATTACTCCGTATTAAGCAGGATTGGAATAGCAAAATTAAAATGTTGCAGTATTTAATTTTTCTATTTTAAAATCATGTTAGTGGTTATTTTACCGTCGTTAAAAAAAATATAGTTTCAAATGCATTATTAAATGTAGTGTTATGGCAATTTATCGTATTAATAACACTACATTAAATGAATCAGTTTTTTTAATTCAATAATAATACTCGTATTAGATTCCATTGGAATAAGAAAAATAGCATTAATTTTATGAAATTGTTGTTTTTTATGCATAAGGGGTATGTATAGCAAAACTCTAAATATTAAGAAGCTTCTTACGAAGTTAAGAGTATATGAAGCTGTTTTCAACAGATAATCACATTTAATCCCAAAAAAAAAAAAAAAAAAATGTAAACATGCATACAAAGCAAGTTCTTTTATAATAACTTAATAAGTGTCTTGATGACATGATTGATGTCTATGTAACACGGTTCCAAAAATTAGATTCACCATTACGTCTCATAACTCTTGCTGAACATAAGATATATTGATCCCTATCTCGCTCCCTTTTGATCTATTATCTATGGCAAAGTCACTATAAATGTAACACCCCGACCCCAAACAAATTAGGAAGGGGTCTATTGCCATAAAATGTGCATCAACGGTCAACAACTATCTTTATATACCAAAACGAAGTCCCATGAGGTCACCTATCCCAAGACTACTCTCAGCCAAGCACGCTTGACTGTGTAGTATTTTGGCAAATGAGCTCCCTAAAAAGAAGATGACCTTGTTGATATGACTAGGAATCATGAGAGGTATTACAATAAAACCATGACATTCAAACACAGGCACTGTAAAACTCACACCACGATTTCATAGTTCACAATACCAGGTCTTAATGATTACATTGAAATGAAAGTACGATATTACGTTGTATGATAAAAAGTGCATAAATAGTACTACATGTTAACCAAAGTGTTTCATTATAAATCAACTGGTTGCTGAATTTTCCAACACACCATCAGTGCTGGCGGATTCTTCATTGTATAGGGGGGTGGTAGTATCCTCATATACTTGATTCGTACCGCGTCGTAAAGCAAGTAAGTCCGGACGTCTACGCCTACCTCTAGTTCTACCGACAAGAAGCTCGGAAACATCCTACATTGCACATACATACATTTCAATTAGTATAAAATTATTGGTAGTGATGATGAATTGAAGCTTATCAATATTTTTAGTCATACCAACACTCACATTATACATTGGAGATTCTAGGGGTCCAAATGTGTCCCTAGCTACCTTAGGGTGTCTTTCGCCATATGCAACATCTATCAACTTCAAAATTATAATAAAAATAGATATATATCACGATAACAAAATTGTATTGACAAGTGACGATAAAACCAAGATATTAAAAACATGGCAACACTATATTACCCCGATTTTTCCATAGTCACCAGATATAGTTCGGTCTAGCTTCCCTGCATACCCAATTCGCTCCATGTTCCATGCCTTAACTCGAGGATATATATCCCATTCATTTGGATCCAAATCAAGGCGGTCCAAATAGAATATCTGCAATGAAAGGCAATAATGCTGTTATATATAGGAAAGATCAAAGTGTATTCACAACATTTTTGAAAATATCATAATCGCCACCTAAGACATTAAATGCATAAATTAGATACTCACTACAACAAATATTGCACATCCACCGCATCCACCGGCAAATCTATTTGCATAAAACCGTCGTGCGAACCTTGACACATTCTCTATGAATTTTGACAAAACCAGTTCACACCAATCATAGTTTGTGCAATCCATAGAACAACTCAACGCTGCTAACAAGTCAGATGCCAATCTAGGTGACTGTGTTGGGCATAATATCATTTGAAGGGCAATGATTAGGAATAACGTTTTGAATTCTTCTTCCTCGTGTGCCTCAAAATGTCCCTCTAATCTATCCATCAATTGTACTGTAACGGGAATGCCAACTGAAGTGTAAGACTGACCACATTGTTGGTTTGGTGTCGTCTCCCATGCCTTTCCATATTTTAATAATATTGTTTGCACCTTCAAAAGAGCTTCCCCGGACAATTACTTGTTTGTAGGAACTTTATTTTTTCCAACGGGGATTCCTAAAATCCAATGCACTTGGTTCTTAGATAACTGAAATGACCGATCATTTGTACCAATTAAGCACCTATTGATTGGATCATTATCCAGTAAGCTAACTGCCGGGGAAGATGCATATGGCCTGGGAAGCAAAATGTAGTAGTCCACCAAAACCCATCTCACATACCCAACTTGTCCTCCTTTCATCAAATTTCTGACATATTCTTCCAAATGACTCAACCCGAGGGGGCTGCCATTGATTAAAGACATAAAAAGTGGATACATTATGATGGTCATTTACATGCACAAACAAACAACAAAAAAAACAACATAAACTCCATCTAAATATTTACACTCAAAACATGTAACTTACTCTGCGCATTGCAGCAGAATATTGATTAATCACTTGCCCTCTTGCTTTCACATAACCACCCACACTTAGCGAGTTATCCTACAATTCATCAACTACGTCAGCTTGTTTTGTAACACAAGTACACAACTATCTAAAAATACAGTGCATTTGAATACCAAAATCAAATACTACCTCTGTTTCATGTCATTTGCAACGATTTGACATAAAGTAGAGAGGAAAAATGTCTAATCGTGGCAAATAATATGAAACGAAGGTAGTAGCATTACCGTAAATAGTCCAGGATGTAAATCAATTGTGTTGTGAACGATTCTATTTTCACTTGGTCCAATCTGCAATTACATAAAGCCATAATTTGAACTATCACAATTTTTTAAAAACATAATCAAACAAATACCATTCAAAATTACATTTCACAATTATAACTTTTAATTTCTCATTCAACATTTAATTTTTGGTACCTTTAATGTAATTTAAAATTCATGATAAATTTTTAATTAAACTTTTACAAACTCAAAATTTCTTGTTCCACGTCACCTTCGCTCTGTTCATGCATCGGACGCTTCCTTTTACCCAACTCTATTTGTTCCATTATGAATTCCAAAGTGCTGACAAAAATGCGTACAAATTTAGTAACAGTTTCACAATGAATATCAAAACATCAGTAAATCTTACCAAATTGAGTTAATATGAAGATACCCATCAAAGAAAAGGTGAAACTAAACAACCCCAGATATAGAAGTTGCTTGGAATTGAAGTAAGCTATAAATATATAATCTTTCTTGCAAAAAATTGGTAAGATTTAAATAAAATTGAACCAAAAAAAGTACCTGAAACTCTGAAAGTAAGCTATAGAATGCAAAAATGGTAAGATTTTGATGAATTTCTCTTTCAACTCTATTGGTCAAAGTCAGAGAAAAAAAGAAAGCCTCAGCTAGGCTGCTATTAAAGAAAAATTGGTGTAGTATTTATTTCTAGCATTAATATTTTTCTTTTTTTTTTTGTTTGTAAAAAGAAATTATTTTTTTCTTAGGGAGAGGATGGAGGGGTTCATTTATGGTAAGAAATTACAATAATAAATTACCTGCTTTGCAAGTGGTAATTGAATTTTTTTTTTTTTTTTTTTTGACAGCTGGGATAATTGAAGTTGATCACCTAAGGTTTTAATAAGCTTCTATTTCAAATTTCAATTGTGTAAATAAATCTGGTTCAGGAGGAATGGGGTTTATAAAACACACTCACTCTTTAATGGTTGTAAGAAAAATCTGTTAGCAGATAATTATAGTACAAGCAAAAAGATAAAATGAATATAATATGGAGTGTTAAAGGACCAACTTACCAAACCCAGGAATATGTTTTATACTCTATTACTATCCCTCACATGAAAGGCCCTGGTGCGAATTAATTCCACTTTGAAGGAGGAGCGGATGAGATTCGAACTCGTGACCTTTGTGTCACGCTGACTCTGATACCATGTTAATGGACCAACTCAACCAAAAGCTTAAACTGATGGTTGAGGACCAGGAATATGTTTTATACTCTATCACTCCCCCTCACATGAAATGTGGATGCAGCACAAACCCTCTCATACCCGGCGCGAATTAATTCCACTTTAAAGGAGGGGTGGATGAGATTCGAACCCATGACCTCTATGTCACGTTGGCTCTGATACCATGTTAAAGGACCAACTCAACCAAAAGCTTAAGCTCATGGTTGAGGCCCAGAAATATATTTTATACTCTATCACGGAGTAACAGTGATTAAATAAAATAAATTAGCGATTAAATAAAAACAAGTACTTGTATATCTTCGTAGTACGATATTGTTTAGTATGAAATACTATGAAAACATAATACTCCCTTCGTCTCCATTTCATTGTCACTTTTGCTATTTTGGGTGTCCTTAAATGTTTGTCACATTTTACATTTCACATTTTCATAATTATTACTCGTAAGATACATAATAAGACTTTTATACCCACATTTTTTTGTCCTTATTAAATTCTCTTCCTATTTTACCCTAACATTTGCTATAAAATTTGTTTCAGCTTTTGACTAATTTAATGTTTTACATTCTTGAATCTATCAATTTATCTTTTCCATATACTTTAATTATTTTTTTAATTGAAAATGTCTCTTTCTTATGCACTTTTTTTACTGTATTAATTGGAAATTTAACTTTTCCATATAATTTCATTATTTCACATGCTCCACCTTAATTCCCGTGATTTTCCTTCAAAAGTTGTAATTTTTTTTTCCCGGAATAAGGGGTGAAAGCCTAGTAAGTAGCTACAATTGCAGATGTCTTTTCAGCAGGTTTTGTTTCAAGAGTTCTTCTTCGTTTAATTTCGGAAAGAGTAGGTGGTTTTTAACAACAAAAATTTTAAAAATGGTGTTGTTTACAACAATTAATTTTTAAAAGGTGATTTTTGACAAAATTTTCAATAATTTATGATTATTGGGTGAGAGTGAGAGTGAGATATAGTAGGGAATGTGATCGTTCTATTTTATTGCATTGCTTGGTTTACTTTATATCAATTTAAGACTAGCATCAAATGTGCAAGCATGATTGTACGGAGTATCTGTCATGGACATCTTAGAATGAAAAAGTTTATTGTAAGTTAAGAAGCTAAATTTATCCTTCTTTCTCTTAACATTTTGCAAGCCAGTTAATAACCAAAGTAATTTTTAAAGCAACTATGAAATGAGCTCAAAACTTCTGGTGTAAAAACTAAAAAGTTGCGTCTTAGTATCCAAGTTTGTGAAGGACAGTCAAATGTAGCATTTTATCAAGCTATTATGTAGTATCATATAATTACGCCATTTATCATAACCGATTTTGAGCTTATAAAACCTGATAACAATCCATAATTCTCCTAATATAACAGTGACTAAAACACTCAAATGAAGAGCAAGCGTGTCATCAACTGAATCTAGTGTAGTTAGAAACTACGATACCTCAAGTTCGCCGGAGCTAAAGTGAAATTTCTTCAATATTTATTGTTCTAATATAACACTATTGAATGACTTATTGCTCAATTTTACAAGAACCAAAATCTAAAAAGGTAACAATAAACTTTCAAGGTTAGAGATACTTTGAGAGTTTCGCACTAGAAGGACTGCGGTAGTGCCTTGAACCCACGATAGTTCTTTGCTGAGCCATAATTAACCAAGTCTGTCACCCATTGATTGTGATGACTGTGTGTATTCATCTTCAAAATTGGTTTTAGCAAGAGAATACTCCTAGCACTAACAGAGTTAAAATCATAGTAAATCTCAAATGGGAACTGCTATTCAAAAGCAATTACAAGGAGCAAAAAGTGGAGAGTATTGTGTAATTTTGGAAACAAAAAGTAATAAAATGGCCTGACTTATACCTGTGTATACAAACATCAGCTCTTGGCATTAAGTTTCTCCAGGAGTATCTTGTTCAAAACACCTGGGTTTGCCTTGCCTTTCGATTCTTTCATCACCTACACATTTAGAACTTCTAGTTTTTACAAAACCCAAATGAAGTTTATAATGTACATAGTACCATCCAATGATTAAAAAAACATCCAAGGAAAAAACAGGATAAAGATTTCATCAAATTCAGAAGATGATATACCTGGCCAGCAAAGAAACCTTGCAGCTTTGTTTTGCCCCCGCGATATTGTTCAACTTGCTTTGGATTTTCTGCAAGCACTTTATCAATCATTTGCTCTATCTCAGCTGGATTTGTAATCTGCAAGTTCATCAAGGCAAGAAGTAAACATGGTGGCAATCATAGCAAGTTATTTTGTTACGTTTATGACATGCAGAATTGTAGAGACTAGCAATCTAGCATTCTAGTCAGTATTCTTGGACCTAAATCTTAATATAACAGAGCACTGAATTAGTGAATCTAACAGCAGTACCAGAGACTCGTCTCTTGGATTTTCCCCCTTTTCTGAGAGTGTTGGGCAGATCATAAAAGCAATATGATACAATTGGTGTATACACTATATCATAATACAATATATCAGTCTTATCCTAGAACTTAACAACTTGTGAAACTTTTCATACAAATTGATCAACTCAAGGACATAACATGTAAAGGCAAATCAAGCCAAAATCTCAAAAGATCAACTTTCCAGTAGCTTGACTAACCACATCAACCATATATAGGTCATATTCATAACCTACAAATTCAGAATTTCAATTTTCTAGTGGCACAATATATGCAAAGGGTTACAAGATCAGATACTGCACTTAAGTATGCAATCAAAATGGCAAGTGAAGTTTTAAATTTCTCATGCCAATAGGGTAAGATTTGAATAAAAATTCTTGGAAACATAAATTATACCAAGAAACCAGATTAATGTTTCATATCACAGAATTGAACAATCTAACAATGCAATTTATAATCTCCAATCTTTTTCCCACCCTCCCAAGGGTCAAGAGAAAAAATATCTTTCAAAATAAAATTATACAAATAAGCAAAACTGTTTACCTGGACCAAATTCTTTTCCTTGATGAGACCCTTGACAGTTCCTCCCTTGGCTATAAGCTCAAATAATATCTACAGTACAATAATTGGCCAAAGTGTAACGGCATACAAGGCAAATGAGATTAAAATCAAAGATAACCAAAAAAGCAACACTGAGGCTAATATTCAGTCTTTTCCTTATCAAAAAGGAACAGTTAGTCTCTCCTTGCCACAGAAAGGGCACAATAACAGGAAATATATACACGAAGTATTACTTTCCAACATCATACCTTAAGAGACAAATTTTAGAACTTTGAGAATCAATATGCTTAAAGTAAGAGTAAAGCCTTAACAGAGGCAACTAATACAACTCCTGGTAAGATTCGATTAGAATTTAACATGATTTCCCACTGTAATCAAATTCCTAAGAGATTAGCAAAACACTCATCAACATTCAACATGATTTCCCACTCTCAAATCTTCTCTGTTTATAAATCCTTAACAAACTCCCCAAGCTACCTATAGGCCATAGCTAACTTGTAAAGGTAAAGCCTAAACCTTTGTTCCCCCATACATCTTTAGTAGGTCATTGTTCTATTAAGGTGGGTTCACTTCCATGCTTCTACGACAATATTATTAAAATTTACATTTTTTTGGATATTAGAGGACAAGTGACAAGTTAATACAGAAGAAGAAAAGAAAGTGGGATGTTTTTCTTGGCATAATCACTGAGAAAAGTATGACAGTAAGAACCAAGTTAGCAGAATTGATAGCATTTTGTTGAGAAAGCTGCAACTCTGCAAGAAATGCTACATAAAGTCTTTCACAGTGATAAATAAAGCCTGTCAAACCCCAACAGGTACACTATCAACATAACAAAACGCACCTCTTTGCCAATTTTGCCACTGATGGTCCCAGTTTTGATAGAATCAATCAATTCAGCCAACTCATCAGGAGTAAGCTTAATCTCATTTATGGACAGCTTTTCATTCTTCATGTATGCTGCAACATCACCCATAATCCAATTAGCAGCTAGCTTCATGTCGGCGCCTTTAGATAGGGTTGCATCAAAAAATTCTGCAATCTGAGAACCCATTCAGATATAAGAATTACGGCATTTAGAGCAATGGGCAAGATACTGAAAAATATATACATTTTAGGTAGCAGAAAATTAATCGAAGGAAAGTTAATGCTTTAGACATGCTGTACACAATATTTACATGCTTCAAAGTTTTGGGTAAATTACAGAGAAAAGAGTGATAAGAAGAAAAAAAAAATGGAGCCTTTAAGTACACCAGATGAATAAGGAATGTAGATTAATAAACATTGCAAAATTGTACATGTCATGTCCTTGTGGTTCCAGTGAAGATATATACTCAAGCAAATCAAAACAGTCTTGAAGATTGTGTGATTTTAATGAAGATATATTCTGTGATTTTCTTATTAGAGAGTTTGCACACTTCAATGTTTTACAGAAATGGATGTGTAGCCTACATCTTTCAGAAATTTGAGTTATAGCCATTGCACTTCTTCTTTATTATTAAACTTTGATTGTAACCCCACTTCTAGAAAGGAAAATTGAAAATTGATCCAAAAATTACATGCTTCAGTGGTTGTTGTGCGCTTATCTATGTTGATAATCTTGATACATAAGCAATTTGAGTGATCAAGAACCAGTCAACCAGTGGATGCAGCTAGATTTGGTGTAAACCATTGATTACGATTCACAAAAGTAATGACAAACAGCTCAATAGTGAAAATTAATGGATCATCGTACTTACATTTACATCATTGGCGAGAAAAAGCACATCCTGCATGCTTAATCCCATTTGTTCATACCGCCGTCTCTTCAACTCTGGAATTTCTGGCAAAGAACCACGAATATTCTCGATATATTCCTTTGTCAAAGTTACTTCTGGAAGGTCTGGCTCTGGGAAATACCGATAATCAGCAAGCCCTTCCTTCTTTCTCATAGTTACTGTTTTCTAGCAGGGAGACGTGATGTAGGAATTGATTAGAAAAGAGCACAGGTCAATAACATTCTTACTTCCATTCAATAAGACAATAACTAAAAGGGGAGCAACAGCTGGCAATAACCTGAGCACCATCCTCCCAAAGACGAGTCTCTTGTACAATTTGGTCACCTAGTCCTTGGTTATGAAGTTGCACTTGTCTTGTGATCTCATAATCAATTGCCCTACTTATAGCTGAAAATGAGTTCAAATTTTTTATTTCAACCTGCCAGTAAAAATTAGAAAATAATTCAGTCTATGATTAAAAAAATATGCTCATCACTAAAGCTCCAAGCTATGTCATGAAGACTGTAATCTTGTTAGCAATGGAATGGAATAACATAATCAGAATACAGTTTATACAAAGTAGCATATTTTGACCAAAGAAATAAACTTTTAAAAAAGACAGCTAGGATACTAAATTTAAAAGCAAACAGCAAAGTTTCTGGCAGCAGAGAAGAAAATCCATTCTTATAGCACAAGTGTAGTCCCTTAACATTTCCGAAGTATCCAGATTTCCACCACATTTCATATTTTTCCAGGCAAAATCATGTTAAAAAATTCCCAACTATGCTAAGAAACATCAAGATCTCTCTCTCCTCCTCAAGCTATTTGTAATCATGTTAAATGGTCCTCTTTTGAACTGTCTAGTTTGGATATGCAGTACAAAAATAATAATAGGAAAGAAAGGAAACACACACAAAAATTTAGATAGTATTTGTAGATTAGCACCAATGCCAATCTAACATATGAATATCTACGTATCAGACGTTTGACCACCACTTTAAGTGTCAAATTAGGAGTTTTACGCCAGTATCATGTATTGTCAGGCCATATGCTGTACATTTTTAAATGTCTTCATCTCAGCTATGATGAGTGCCAAGGAAATAGAAGTTCAACAATCGACATAGCTTGTCTAATTTCATACTCTTAACACCCAAAAAAACATATTTGAAAATGTACCTATCAAACATTTGATCAGACAATGTCCAATTTGTTTAATCAGGATTCAGGTGTCAGAACCAAGTCTATCAACAGGCCATCAAATTCCCAAATTACATATCATTATGTGATTATTCCATCAATTCCAAACCACGCCACCCACCCCACCACCACAACCCCACCCCCACCCCCACCCCCCAAAAAAAAGATGAATATCTTACTCTCCATTTCAGTTGACAGTTATAATGCACAAAGTTATCACAGTATACATAATACAGGACAATCCATCTTCCATGTAAGCAGAACAAATATGTGAATGAGGATCACATATCCTAGTGGAATGTAAATCAATTAGTCTAATTATAAGCTACTAACAGCAATATAATAATAAAATTGATTAGGAAAACCATGTTTTATTATCCAGACCTACAAGTAAAGATGTTTCAAAACTTTAAAAAAAAAATAAAAAATAAAAAAATATACTCTCTTTTTCTTGTGAAATTATTAATTGCTCTCTATCCCTTCCAAGATCTATTGTGATTCGCAAATTTGGTCAACAGATTTGATTGGGCATTTTGTATATTAATGAACAAATTCTGAAACCTTGGGCCAAGCAGCTTGATGATATGAAATATGAATATCAGTATATCACCTACTAATTGCAATATTGTGCTTCCAATGCTTAAATTCAATAGCACGTACATAGAGAATATCAGGCACCTAAGAATCTCACGTAGAGTGAGGAAAAGAGTCCAATCTACTTACCTTTGTACCAAACTCAACTTGCCCTCTTGGACGGACTGATATATTAACATCACAGCGCAGTGAACCTTCTTGCATGTTACCATTGCTCACACCCAAGTACCTAACTAATCTCTGCAATTCTGCACCATATTCTGCAGCTTCTATACCACTTCTCATATCAGGTTCAGAGACAATCTCGAGTAAAGGTACTCCAGCCCTATTTAAATCAACCTGCAGATGGAAAATAGCATTAAATCCCAGCAATCTATAGATTAAAAATTAAAAAAAAAAAAAAAAAAAAGCTTCATAACTCATGACTGAATTCAGTTTTAATCTGAACATGGCATTGATATCAAATGGTTTAGTACCAAAAACCTCATAAAAACTATATGTACATGACCCCAAATTGCTCATCAATAATTTTCACATTCCATGATGCTGGTAAAATTTTGGAATGGTCTACAACATCAACAGTTCCAATGAGACAATGAAAATTTCTTTAGAAAGAGCCAGAAACAGGAGTCTTCTAAAACAGAATACCTAATAATTATAATATATTATCTTAACTCATTCTAAGATGGAACAGGACCTTTAATCTATTGGTAAAAAGTGAATTTAAGGCTGAGCAGCTATAGAGACAATGAAAAACCAGTGAAGAGTGAGCATCTATGAGTTCCAAGTTAAATGCAATGAATTCTGCACCCCCCCCCCCCATAGAGGGAGAAGATGAAAACAAATTATACATACTTAAATCATAATAAGAAAACCGCTGGATCTATCAAGTCCTCATTTCAAGCGTTGAATGCTTGAAACTAATTCGTAATTGATTGAAAAGTTTAAGAGCAGAAATACCTTAAGTTATTACCTATACCAAGGAACTTCTCATACTACCTTCAAACATGAAATTGTCTTAATAAGAGATCTTTACTTGTAATAAGCTAACAAATATGCAATTGCCAAACAATGATGAAGCGGGTACCTGAGAATGACTTCCACCATCTGTATGGAGTAGTTTCCCCGCATCCTCTTCCATATGGACTCGAGTTATTCCAAATTTCCTATGTCCACCACCATACTCAAGTGGGAGATCCAAGTCAATATACCCACTAGTCGCTATGGGAATATCGAACTGAGAGATCTGGTACCCCTTTGGCAAATCAGGATAAAAATATTGCTTCCTGTCGAACTTTGAATTTAAGGACAGCTGACAATTGAGTGCAAGGCCAAGTTTCACTGCACACTCAATCACTTTGGAGTTCAAAACCGGTAAGGCACCAGGCAAGCCCATGCAAACAGGGCAAATATTGGTGTTTGGTTCTGAACCATAATTGTAATCACATCCGCAAAAGGCCTTGGTAACAGTGGAGAGCTGCACATGGGTTTCTATACCAATGATTGCTTCATAGTCTTTCAAAAATTTGTCAAGTGTTTTGTCGTGGTTTCGAGCTACAACTTTTGACGATGACTTAGGTTTATCTTGTGTTGTTACACTTTGGGTATGTAAGCTATTAGATGTGCAATAAAAAACACCCGGTTTTTTGGTCAACAGAGAAAATGGATAAATGCAAAGAGGACGAATTTGCAACCCTCTAAACAATACGGATGCCATCTTACTGATCAATTACATCAACTTCAACATCAATCGAACAAAATTTGAGTCTGCAATAGAAGCAAAAAATACTTACATTAGTAACAGTACTAGTTGATAATTGTGTATAAATTGCAACAAAACTAAGTATGTTATCATTGATTTTCTTCAAAAAAAGTATGTTATCATTGACAGCAGAAGAAGACCTGCATCAATCATTTAATACCCTGAAAGAACAATTTGAACATGAACAATAAAAACTGAAGGCCCTAAATTATACATCATTCCAATGATTCTCCTCTTCATACAGCAACAGAGCAATCTTATTCAGGACTGGAGTTTAAATTTATATATCTGCAAGAAAATACGAGGACTGCTCTGATATGGAAAATTTTCCCATTCCTGTTAAATCAGATATGATAAACTGTAGCAGAGATGACTGCAGCACACTGTACAAGTGTACAGTTCTTCTAAACCTAATTTCACATCTATTTATTACTATGATCTGACACTAGAGGTGCTTCTCAACTTCTCAAGTCAACTACTAAGAATTTAAGCTTAACTGTGTAAGCCATCCTTTGATTTTACGGACAAAATTTGTGACCAGTTATACAGACAGAACAGGTCGGTAATGTGCCCAAATTTTTCATCACATTCACAGCAGACAGCACTACAGCAGCTGCTATCTATAAGACTATAATATACCTAAACACCCACCTAAATCTGCTTCCAGTCAGAAACTGTAATTTAAACACATACGACATCATAAGCCTACATTTAAAAAGGAAAGAATCCCAAATAAGTCTAAAGGACTTCCAACTTACATATCGATTCTAAAATAGCTTGTAGCTGAGTGAATGGTGCAAAAACCTCCCTTGGATAAAAAATAAAAAACCCTTTACAGTATTAGTCTTAAGTATTAGTCTTAAGGTTAACATGTGCTTCAAAATTGCGATAATATAAGGCAAGGAGCAAATTTTCAATTTTTAAACCCCTAATTCTCCTAGTACAGATTTTTTTATTCTAACCAACAATATGTGTTACTTTCTTGTTGGCAAAAGACACCCATGAGAAGTTCCTACGCATGCTCTAAACCCTCTTCGCAACTATTACAAAATTATACTTCCCCTGCTTATATTAATTTCTACATGGGGGAAAGGCACACAAATTAAGGAGTCCATGTGAAAAAGAGTTAAAAAAAAGACGTAATCATGTGATGAAGAAAGAGATAAAGAGAGACAATTACTGGAAAAGATTATGAGCAACTAATATGAAACTTTTAGATTAGGGAAATGCATCCAAAATGGAGAAAGTAACTTTTTGGGAAGCTTCTAACCCTTTTGACAATTTTATCCAAAGATACAAGGTACATCTTGTTTCGCTCCTAGCAAAGAAAGAGCAGCAATATACAATATACTAATATGAAAAGAGCTTGATCAAATACTAATAAACAATCCTTTATCACAAAGAGGAAAATAAGGGCAGAGTAGTAGAGACTGGTTCACCCAATCTAAAGAATCTCCTCCCGTAAGATAACTATACACTGTAATTAAAATCAAAATAACGTCTTCTTAAAAAAAAAGTTCAAAAAAATTTCTTTCAAAATATCCCATCATAGGGCATCAAATAACTTTCTTAGGCTATATATCATTACTAAACACTGAATGGAAACATTTTACTTTCTATACTTTCTCAAAGTTTTAATCTATGCTGATAAAAAATGTGTATGAATGTCGGGTACATAAAAATGATACAATTCACATCAAAGCTCAAAACTTCAGAGATGTGTGAGCAAGTTCTAGACTTTTACATGTGCTTTGCAAGTTACAAATATACATACAAACATTTTAGGTTGATAGTTCCTTTTAATTTTATGATCCCAAACCCATTTTAAGCATTTCAGTACAGATAGAAGGTTCAAAATGATGGAAATGTCACAGATAGAAGGTTCAAAATCTCCATTTCATCATGTTTCATCTAACAAAAATCCATACCCTTGACCAAGTATTGGGTATCTGAAAATTGGTACATTGAACAAAATGAATAGTCGAAGTTACTTGTGTTTTTATCTTGAATATCAATTGTGAGTATTTTTAACTTAAACTCACTAAATGTGAAAGAGTCAATCAAGGAACAATACACTTATACATTCGAATTTCGCTACGACATCAACAAAATTATAATCAGCATTCCTCCTATTCTGCTTTCACTATTCAATCATATCCTAATTCAATATGACAAACTGTTGAATAGTGTCATCTTAATTAATTAAATTTTCTCACCCACTATCTTCTCACTTAAGAATTTGAACATAAATTTCTAATAACAAAATACTGGCAATAAAATCGCTTGTTAAAAGCTCAAATGACTTCAGCAATTACAACCAATAGTTCAATATTCCACATTAGAAGAACCCTAAATTGATTATACTGACAAATTTAATTAACAATAGCATGAAATTAAAACCAACGTTGTAAAATTGATTTTCGCTGTTTAAATAAAAATGAAAAAACATCTTACCTCAGAAGAAGCTTCAATGAGAGAGAAAAAGCGCAAGAGTCGCTTCAATGGAGAACTCAGAGTAGCTACAATGGAGGAGAGAGAGAGAGAGGTGCAGCGTAAAAGTGAAAAGCTCCAAAGTGAGGGGAAGAAAGCTTGGAAGCCGCTTCAATGGAGGAGATAGAGAGGTGCAGCTTCACTGGAGAAGCAAGGTGTTTAAAGACCTGCACATATTGTCAACCGTCAAATCTGGATAACATCCATGGTCAATTGTAAATAAAACGAAAATAATAACGAATTTATTCAATTATAGGCTTGACCGGTGATAGAAGTGGATCGGGCCGGTTAGACATGGCATGAAAATGGTCCACCTCGGTACGAGCTCATCCTAGCACGGCATTAAGAGACACGCAGTCTCACGGCCGTGCATGGATTTCAATTTACAAATTTCGCACAAGCACCACATCTCGGCTCACATTTCAATTCGCTTATGTTTGATCAATTTACCAAAAAAAAATATATATATATCAGGTCAGGTTGTGTATGGGCTCCATTTATAAAAAGATCAGCATAAGTACAACTTAGCGCGGCTATTTTTGCCCCGTTACAGACACGGTCAGCTTGAGCAAGAGGCACACTAACATGACACATGGGCCTACACGGCATAATTCTGCTCATGCCCATCTTTAGTCTTGAGGCTTCTTTTAGAGCACTTTCACTCACACGCAATAATATGCCCATTTGCTCATGAGGAATTTAGGTGGGGAGAAAAAAAAATGGATCTACAATCAATGGCAATTCTCATTAACAACTAAAATATGGTATCGGCCATACTTTTAGGAATTCCCAACAATAGATTCTCAATCCTTACCTTTGAATCCTCAAATGGTTATTCAAACATTCCAAACACCCCCTTATCCTAGCAACCGTGTTGCTTTAAAAATAAAAAATAAAAAGGAAAATTTGTCAATTACTACCGCAAGTTAATACTACTTTGTAAATTACTACCGCAAATTTAAAAAGTTGTGAATTACCAAGGCAAAAAATTTAAAGATGTTGCGATTACTACCAAACCTCCATTAAACCCAACTTTGACGTCATTATATCACTTTAACCCATGGTTAAAGCCCTTAACCATGGCGTCATTATATCCCTAATCCATTTTCTTTTTTTTGGGGGGGGGTGGGGGGGGCTGGTTAAAGTCCTTAACCATGGTCAAACACGGGTTAAAGGGATATAATGACGTCATAGTTGGGTTTAATAGAGGTTTGATAGTAATCGCAACATCTTAAAAAATTTTGCGGTAGTAATTTACAAAGTGGTATTAACTTGCAATAGTAATTGGCAAATTATCCAAATAAAAAATATATAAAAGAGAGAGAGAGCCTAAACTTGTATTTTGAAGAAAGAAACTAAACATGTTTTGATGCTTAATTTGGCTTGAATAAATAAATGAATTTGTATTTCATGTCTGCAAGTTGTAGTCACTCTTGTGTGTATCCCAAACATCTTAACTTTAAAATAGACCATTTTCTACATGACTTCATTTTATAAATAAATGCATACTTCAATTCAATTTGATTCCCAGCTTTCCCGATTAGGCTACTTAATTTTTCTATTTGGATAATATAATTTTTTTAAAACTCAACCCTAAACCTAAAATTTCATTCATCACATTTTCAGTGTGATCATTTTTGGATCAATGAGTCAATGGTATTGAAAACACAATTTTTACCTATCCATTACACCTAGTGTTCCCCTCATCTATCCATATTGGCAATTACATTCTTTCAAAATGTGACTAGATTTTCATCAGGTAACACCGTGACAGCATCTGTGATAACACCTTATCCTAACTTGTGGAAAATACACAACAGTCATTGCATACATATTCCAATCCAAGAGTAGGACAGGAAAAAAGCAGGATTCCCAATTCAACTTAATCAGAAACATCACAGAATTTCTCTACAAAAGCATCAAGTTTCCTGCTTATGTAAAACTGGCTAGACTAGACCTGTCTCCTGTGAATACATGAATGAACCTAAAAGATTAAATCAGTTACACCGTTCTGCGACATTGATGTTGAATGTGTTGCCATAAGAAAGAAACACCAGATTACAGCTCCCCAAGGTAGATCTGTTTGTCACTACTGCATGATCCAACAATAGGCTCTCTAGGGTGGAAAACAGACTCATTCACAGAGCCAGTGTGGCCAGGGAGCTTGTACAAGATACGCCTAGTAGTTGTATCCCAAATATAAACCATCCGGTCTGCACTTCCAGCAGTGACTTTGCTACCATCAGGAGACCAAGCACATTTCAACAAATTCTTCTCAAAATTATGTTGATGCCCTTCCAGAACTTTAACACAACGGTTTTGAGGAGCATAGGGACGCATATCCCAAATGCAAAGCTTACAGTCCATACCATTGGTGAGAAGATAAGATCCATCAGCACTCAAAGACATCCCAGTGATCATATCCTGGTGGCCTTGGAGGGTCATAGTAACTTCATTTTTGCGAACATCCCACACTTTAACATCATTGTCAATCCCACCAGTGTAGATTTTATCAGATGCATCAGAGAAACAAACAGCAGTTATTTGGTATTTGTCTGGGAATGTCTGAATAGCACCTCTGTGACGCATATCCCAAAGCTTTGCAGTTCCATCATCTGACCCACTGACAACAAGAGGTGGTCCCCTCCGAGCAGGACAGCATGAGTTAACAAATGAGGAATGCTCAGCCATCTTTTTGATCTGTTTCCCAGTTTCGGCATCCCATGCTCTTACTGTCTTATCAGGACTAGCTGAAACTAGCTGGGTTCCATCAGTGGTCCAATGAAGATCAAGGACAGCATTCTTGTGACCCTTTAAAACCATAAAATTTTTGCAGTCACCATGCACATTCCACAAGAAAATTTCTCTATCGTGTGAACCTGATGCAATGACTGTTCCTTCCGGATTGAACTTCATGGTATATACTGCACTTTGGTGACCAGTCAACAACATGATTGGTGATTCCAAACTTGATGTGCGTTGTCTCCCATTCGGCCCAGGGGCCTGAGGAGCACTGTACGGCACAGTGGACCACTCCATTGGCCTAGGGCCAGCCACAGATAAGGCACTTTCATTGTTATTTGTAGTGGCCAGCATCTTGCTTTTTGCTTCACTGAGTGACACCGAAGAACTGTCTGCACCTGCCCTGGAAGTTAAGAAAATATAATTCACTACCAGAATGTCCAAAACAAACAAACAAAAAAACAACAAAGCAGGAAAATTCATCAAAAATCCATAAAAATAACAATCAATATAAATTAGTGGTGTTTTGTAGACTGTATGATTTATTGATTCATAGAAGGGGAAACAGAAAGAGAAAGAAATCAAGAAATAGAAGTTAAAGTTTTGTTTGGTTAATTTCCTTTTATATAGTTTGGTTTATCCAACAAAGCAAAGCGAATTGGAAAACTTGGGTCCACTATTCTATTTTCCTCCTGAAAAACTGCTTCCCTCAATCTCAAGTTTTCAACTGCTCCTGCTCATATCACTCAATCCAGCACTCTCAACTCAACCAACCTCAACAGCTATTTTCCTAACCAGCCTTGACCCAGCTGCTGCTAGTGGTTGTCGCATCACACAATCATAGTGTTGCGTTGCTGCTAATCCTGCTACCCTGCCATAGTGCCATATGCCCACCGAGCTTAACTTTTGTAGTTAAATTAGGCCACTTGAAGCGATTCGCCAATTCCACCACCAAAAGTCAAGATTCAGGCCATATTCTGAATTCACTCAAAAAAATTGTTTTAATTGAGATTTTTTGCTTTTAAATCATTTTATACCCCCTCACCATCTTCTACTTGGTTTAGTCCACAAAGCTCCGTCCAGTCATTTTTCGAATGATTTTGACTCAGTAAGATAGTGTCCTAGGTTAGTGGGAGATTGGACAACGGTGGCAGCAGGCTATGTTTGGGGCTGTGTTGGCCAATGGTGACGGAAGTGACTCCAGCATCAGAGGTGAGGGTAGATAGATTGCCAGTAGTAATGACATGGGTGAATTATAAATGGTGTCAACACCAGCAGAACCCACGGAAGTGAGTCGAGCAGTATGTGGTTGAGTTAGTAGTCAGTCTCTAACAGCCATAACGTTTGGTGTGGGTCTCTGGCAGCAGCCTGGTTTAAGGGATATTTGGTGAAGGTAGAGACCCTTCCAATTTTTAATTATGTTTATTGAAAACCCAATAAAAACTATCTCAATTCCTTGGATAGAGGTGAGGAAACATGGTTCAGGATTTTGCGAATTTTTGGAAAAGAAAGTGGAGAAAGGGAATCATAACATTGTACCACCAAGCAGCAAGAATGTGGATGCTGATTTCCTTTCCCCTAATCAAATCCTTTTAAAACCAAACAGCCACTAATATTTTAGAGATGATCAAAGCAATCATCTTTAATGCTTTAAATTGGAAGATGATGTAAAGTAATAGAAGTTTGGAGCCATATTATACTTTCCTAAAAACCACTAAAGAAGCTAACAATAACACGAAATAATGGACAGGTGGTTGCTTCAACATGAAAGATACCTCCATTTTGCAGTTCAATCCAATAATCACATCTCACATACTAATAACCTATTATACTATGAGAACCCCTTAATCGAACTTGAGGTCCACAGACCACAGGTAATATACCTCAACCATATTTGAAGTTCATGCAAAATCCACAAATAAACAGGGACAAAACAGTGACCTAATAATCTACTTTCTTATCATAGGATGAGAAACCTCTTAAAAGGCCTAGAGGGGGTGATCTCATCCATGTATAAAAGTAACACTAATCAACGGGAACAGAACAGTAACACTAATAATTTACTTTGAGTTTTGATGAGAAACCCCTTATACATCTATTGGGGGTGCTATCTAAAGTGCTGAACCATGTTTAAAAGTTCTGAAGTTCTATGTTTGCATAAACCATAACCTGCTACAAGTACATTCACAAACATTCACAATTCATCGCAGTACACTTAGAAACGAAATATGCATGTCAGGGATCTAAAGCCCTAAAACCAATACCAAAGACCGATGGATTCTAATGTTAACCCATCTATTTATGTCTTACACATACTATATAACTAATATCTGAATGGCTATTAGTATCACAGTATATGAAATGACAGATTGCGCAAAAGCGTCCCAAAGGAAATAAAAAAGTATCACAGATGCAGGGATAAACAACAGATATTAACATACACAAATCCAGAAGGATTGCAAAGCATCATCAGTATTTTTTTAGTTTTGACTAGTAAGCTGCAACTTTGATACTTCCAACATTTTGCTAGGAAACATTAACTAAATGTCTAAAACTATTCGCCTGCCTCAAATTAGCAGGAGGGGGGGGGGGTATACTAATAATAACACCTGATTACACATTAAACCCAGAAGGTAAATTGCCAAGTATAATTCAAAATATTGACAAGAGAAGGAGGAAGTCCTACAAATCTTTCCCACAATCATATTTGAACAAATTATTGTTTCAGCAATCTCTAAATTTCTCCCTCCATCCCCCTTCTCTCTCTCCCTCTAACTCTCTAAGCACATTCTTCACAAACAAGATGACTCTGCTCTGAGATCGTCTGAATTAAAGAACCACGAAGTTATCCACCTTTATTTCAAAGTCCAACTGTCAAGAAACTTTCAAAATGGACATCACTTTTCAGCAAGCAACTACTATTGCCAATTAAGATGCAAATGTAGGTATGCCCTGACTTCACACGAATGCTAACTCTTCAAAAATGCCTCACTCGCAGTAGCCCAACCAACCTAATCTACGGAGTAACTTGGATATTTACCAGCTAAAAATTAACCCCTTTCCTCACTTATGATCTTAAGTCACCAACTTCGACCCTAGGCTTCAATCATTCTCTAGCTAACTAGAGATAACAAAATATCAAATCGACTACGAATAGCAAAAATCTCATAATAATATTTTTCATCACTAAAACCTTGATTCCTTTTTCAGGTTAGGTCGATCCCCGGTAAGGGCAGGAGGGGCGGCCTGAAAAAAGGTTCATTTTCATGGTTTTGTTCTTATACCAAAGTGTTATACAAACAAAGCTCCGCAACACATTAGCAGTCAAATTGCACTCAATTATCAAAATTAGGTTCCAATAATCGCATCAATTTCTTCTCGCTTGAGAAAATCAACAAAATGGCTCACTATAATATTTCATAACTTCAATAAACATACTAACAGTTCAATAATCCACTCAGAAAAACCCTAAATTGACTATACTGACAATTAAATCAGTATAAACCCTAGAATGTGAAATCAATTGATACTCAAACGAATTCTAAAGTATAATAAACATCTTACCTCAGAAGATGCTTCAGTGAAGGAGAGAAAGCTGGGAAGCTGCTTCAATGGAGAATTCAGAGTACGCTTTAATGGAGGTGAGAGAGGGTCGAAACCAGGCAGCGTAAAAAAGCTAGGTTTGGTTTAATTGATTGTGGCCTGAGTTTGAATAGAGCTTTTTCGAGAAAGCTTTTAGCTTAATGAGGCCTACTTCTTATTAGAGGTTTGAACATCCTTAAAAAAAACTTATTTGGGAGTTTAATAAAGGAAAATTTGTGTTTATCATCCTCAAAACATCATATTTCTTCAAACTAGTCACTCATTTTAATTCTAATTTGAAAATACCATTAGAAAAACTCAAAAATAAATAAAGATTTCCGTCAATTTACACTTTCCCTAAAAAAAATCATTAAGTTATCGATTTTCGTATCAAAATTTGTTTTATTATAATTTTGGGGGGCATTTTGCTCTAATAGAGTTTAACTTGAGATCAAAATTGACAAAAATATCTCGTTTTGTGTGCATAACATTATGCAAATCGAGGTCTTTTCATTATGCAAAATGTAGCATTTTTAATTTATTTTTTTTATATCAATTTTAACCTCAAATCGATTCTTTTAGGCCCAAAATGACCCTTAAAATATATAATGAACAAGTATTTGGCCTACAAATCGAACAAATTTTCTAACAACAATTCAAATCTAACTTTTTTTTAGTGGTATTTTAAAATTAAAAAACTGAAAAGAAAAGTTAGATCAGAATATGGGCTATTTTGAGTGGTAAAATCAAAATTACATTTTAATTAAAGAGCTTTTGGGCTCATAAAAACTCGTTTTGACCTTAAATTACCATGACAATCCAAATTTTGTGCTTTATTGTGGATAGATGGCTAATGACAACTTCTCTCCTCTACTTTCCCTTTTTTTTCTTTTTTTTTTTTCTTTTAACATAATCAATGAGTTGACATGTAAGAATCAGACCTAACTATGGGTTGTTCTCTCCAGCTTATTTTCATTTCACTTCAGTTCCTAATTTTCTTCTCTCACAAAATATTCAGTTCAGTTTATCTTATTTCAGTAATATCACAACAAGCCCTGCGTAAGAATGGCTTGAAAAATGGAACTGACAACTCATTGATTAAACATGTCAAATTAGTCTTTATCACTCGTAAGTGAAATTTTTTATTTAGTAATTGATTTGCTTGATATTTTTTTCACATGATAGAGTAACATATTCCTTTCAAATTAAAGTGATTAACATGGATATGCAACCTGATTTAGCTCATGATTTCCTCATAATTCGTTTTTACTAAGGGTCTGTTCTCTTCAGCTTATTATCAGTTCAGCTCCAATAAGTTTAGTTTTAGTTCTTAATTTCCTTCTCTCATAATATATTCAGTTCAATTCAGCTCCAATAAGTTCAGTTCAGTTTAGTTCTTAATTTCCTTCTCTCATAATATATTCAGTTCAATCAACTCAAATAAGTTCAGTTCAGTTCAGATCAGTAAATCAGAACAATCCCTAAGGGGGATTCATTTCATAATTACATCAAAAAAAAAAAATCAAACACAAAATGGTTATAAACCCAATTCATGAACTCTAAGACATTTAGTGAAGGAAAAGATAGGGTAAATGAGCTAGTAGTTAAAGGAATCAAAAGCATTCCTAACCTGTTTGTTAGCCCGCTTGAGGTTTATTTAAAAGATTATGACAAGTGACTACGGACATGTTCTCTTTAGCTTATTTTCAGTTCAGTTCAATTTACTTCAGTTTTTAATTTATTTCTCTCATAAAAGGTTCAGTTCAGTTCAGCTCCAATAAGTCTAATTTAGTTTAGTAAATCTAAACATGCCTTACGTTTTTCAAAAATATAAATGTATTGATCATTGACTTTGCTTGGTGAAAGTATTGATCAAACTACTGAGATTGACAAGAAATCATATTGGCATAAAAAAAAAAGAAAAAAAGAAAAGAAAAAAAAAAGAAGAAAGTTTTGGCGTGAGACCGGACTCATCGTAAGTCCAATATACTTCCTTTGTTCTGTTAATATTGCAACAAGGAGGAAATTACGCATCCCAAAACACATTTTATATGCTAAATATTTACAATTGTGTAAGTGTAAAAATTATAAAAAGTTGATATTGTGAAAGTATTATATGAGACGAATCCAACAAGATCCCACTTGATTATATTTTGCTTAACGTATAAGTCATATTATATGGTCAAACAAGAGTGATGAACAGTGCAAAAACTCCATTGTTGCAATATTAATAGAACAGTGGAAGTATATGACAATAATATTCTATTACTCCGTATATAACATTAATCTATCTATCTATAACTATATACTAAAGGCGAAACCAAAGATGACACGTGTCATCTTTTGGTTAAAAATTTTCCCGCCAAAAGTGTTTTTTTTTTCCATTTTTTTTCGCTTTTTGGTTTTTTGTCAAAAAATCTTATTAGAGAATATTTACTATACATAATACAAAGTATAATATTTTCATTCCTTTCTCACAAAAATCTATCTATCTATCTATCAATATATCTATACTAACTAAAGGCGAAACTAAAGATGACAGACACGTGTCATCTTTTGGTTAAAAATTTTCCCGCCAAAAGTGTTTTTTTTTTCCATTTTTTTTGGCTTTTTTGTTTTTTGTCAAAAAATCTTATTAGAGAATATTTACTATATGTAATACAAAGTATAATATTTTTACAAAAATCTATTTATATATATATATATATATATATATATATATATATATACTAACTAAAGGCGAAACTAAAGATGACAGACACTTGCCATCTTTTGGTTAAAAATTTTCCCGCCAAAAGCTTTTTTTTTTCATTTTTTGTTTTGCCTTTTTTTTTGTCAAAAAATTCTTATTAGAGAATATTTACTATACATAATACAAAGTATAATATTTTCATTCCTTTTTTACAAAAATAAAATACTTTTTCCTTCCAAAATAATCTTTATGTTTCTTCCTTGTATATTATACTCAAATATTAATTATTTCATTATTTGATATCCTTATATATTATACTCAATTATTAATTATTTCATTATTTGATATGTTAAGTATCTTTAATTATTTTATATATATGTATAATTTTGGTTTCCTATCTTTATCTAATAATTACATAGTACATAGATTAAGGGTATGTTCACATTTATTGAACTGATCTGAGCTGAACTAATTGGAGCTGAACTGAACTGATTGGAGCTTAACTGCTGAATAGAGCTGAAATGAATATTTTATGAGAGAAGGAAATTAGGAGCTGAACTGAACTAAAATTAAGCTAAATTGAACATGCCCAAATTATTATTACTGTAAATCATATTTTAAACATATTATCATAACTTTTTAAGTACTTAAAATAGGAATTATATGGGTTAAAAGTTATATTTTTGTTTATATAATATTTGAGTATCAACACACCACGGGTTTTATGTTACACCACATGCCCAAATTATTACCATACTACTATAAATCCTACTGTGATATTATCTATGCGATAATATGACCTTTTTCAAATCATATTTTCAAATTTTAAAAGTGGTCGATTTTATATGAAAAAATGTATATAAAGATAATGTAGATGAGAGGCTAGCTATATACATATAAAATTAATTATTATTTGTTTGTCAAAAAGAAAAATAGTACGGAGCATCACTTTATTGTGAATTTTAAAACACTCATAGGCAAAGGAGTATTTTTACGAAACTCATTTTGTTAATAAGCTCTTTATACTTCATTTGATTTTTCGTGTTTTATTTTAGTAAATATTAGAAATAATAAGAAGATAAATATATCTTAGTTAAATTTTTCATGTGATTTATATTACTTTTTGATAATTTTTTTTTTTGATATTAAATACAAATTATTATGTTACAAGCACTAACGATAAATATAATTATAGTGTTACACCAATAAGAATTTGAAAATTACCGTGCATGGCACGGGAACTAACCTAGTATTCTAATACTTGACAATAACATTTTAATATACGACATTAATAATCTAATACTACCTCCGTTTTAATTTAGTTATCACCTTTATCTTATCACGCTTGCCAACGCACTATTTTAATGATTAATATCTCTAATTCTTGACATTGAAAATAATAAAAAAAAAGTGGATATAAATAAAATATACATTGAGACGATTCAAACAAGATCCCATTTGACTATAATTTATGTAGCTATAAAACACAAAAGCTAGTCAAAGTGTAGTTTGTGAATAGTGTAAAAGTCATATGTGTCAACTAAAAAAAAAAAGGTAGTATATGACATTAATAATCTAATGATAGATTATTAATGTCATATATTAGAATACTAGGTTAATTCCCGTGCCATGCACGATCATAATTAAATTTTACAATAAATAAATATGGTGTTAATTCAACAATAATTTATCCAAAAAATTTATTTGTAACAAAATAACTTAATTTAAATGTAAAGATTATTGAATTGGATTGTATAAAAAAATATATAGTGATAGAAACTTAGAAGATTTAACGTTTGTATAAGAAAATTAAATTATTAGCTTAGGCGTTAGTACCCATATACGAACTCATATACATTTGTCCTTAAATTTTTGACACACTTTGATCGGCATAATATGAAAATTTATTTGAGTTCATTTTACTTTAGGATAATTAGTATTCCGTAATCAACTTTTTAAATATTATTTAGTTTGCGGATAATTAGAACAATTAGATTTAATTTTCCAATATATGTTATGTACGAAGTATACTATAACAAAATTATTTTGTTCTTATAAACGTTATGTATAGTTTTAAGATTAATGCTCCGTAAAAAGTATGCTACCAAAATGATTTTTCTTTAAAATTGATATTGATAATATTATAATAATCTTGGAAAACAATATATTCCAATACCTTATTTTTTTTAAAGCTATGTTAGTACGTATTTTTGTAATTAAAAGTTTCCTAGTATTAGTAGTATATATAGAATATATGTAAAAAATTTAATTGAGTAATAGTGGATTAAATATGTTGTCAAAATAGAAATGACTATTATTATAGGTTATAAAATATATAGATGTCATTAAAATATGGCAAAAAAATTAAAAAGGAAAGGGAAAAAAAAGGCGGGAAAATTTTTAACCAGGAAATGACAAGTGTCATTCCTGGTTTCGCCTTTATAATAATCTTGGAAAACAATATATTCCAATACCTTATTTTTTTAAAGCTATGTTAGTATTTTTGTAATTAAAAGTTTCCTAGTATATATAGAATATATGTAAAAAATTTAATTGAGTAATATTGGATAATATGTTGTCAAAATAGAAATGACTATTATTATAGGTTATAAAATATATAGATGTCATTAAAATATGGCAAAAAAATTAAAAAGGAAAGGGGAAAAAAAGGCAGGAAAATTTTTAACCAGGAAATGACAAGTGTCATTCCTGGTTTCGCCTTTAGTATAAGTTATTGATTGATGTCATTAAAATATGGCAAAAAAATTAAAAAGAAAAGGGAAAAAAAAGGCGGGAAAATTTTTAACCAGGAAATGACAAGTGTCATTCCTGGTTTCGCCTTTAGTATAAGTTATTGATTAATGCCATATATTAGAATATTATTGTCAGATATATTCCACTTATATGAGTCCAACTCACCCAATTTTTTTTGGTCAAAAAATTGGAGATTTTTTCGAGTTATAAATCATAGGATTGTAATTAAATAGTTCAAAAGGATGATCGATCAAAATTGAATGTTCACGAACAAGATACCGATACAAAGGTATTGCTTGGTACTTTGGTTGCCCTTGATTTCCTTAGGCAATCAAAATTCCCATGAAGTTAGTTTTGGCCATGTTGTTTGGTTGACATTATAAAGTACTCCGTTAAATGAAAGGATATCTCAATTCTTGAGAATTTTCATTTTTCCACGAAAATACTCCGTATGAGAATTTGTTACCACCGTACCCCACCTTTGGTCATTCACAATATTTATGATTTATATAAATTTTCACGTGACAACTAAACATGGTAATTTATTTCCTATGCCAACCAAACAAGGCCTAAAGCCAACTAAACTTGTTTGGTTATTATATGGGTATTTATAAATTCCGGAAATTTTTGAATTATAAGGGAGGTTGTTTATTATATGGGTATTTATAAATTATGGGAATTTTGAGTTATCAAGGGAGGTTGATTATTAAATTTCTATGCTTTGTGAGAATTGGAAAATTCTCATTCACATGATTTTACACCTTTTCACATTCTCACTTTTTTGGTCTATCAAACAAGCTCTTTATTTCCTTTATGAAAATTTTGAATTCCTTTACTTGTATTTTTTTATGTGCAACAATTGTGTTTGACCAAGAGTGGATGGGTAAATACATTATCATATTTTATGGAAAATTGTGATTTTTATAAATTGTATTCCATCCGTCCCTTAATTATATGCCTATTTCTTTCATTTATTACTTATATAACAGAGAAAAATTGACATATAATTAAGGGACGGAAAGAGTATTACAGTATGTAATTTTCATTTATTTTTGATTTTACTTAAATATCAATCAAATAATATGGGAAAATTTGACTTTTGATACCTCACAAACACATCAATTTCACTTCTGCTACCTCCGAAAAATTTTATTTTATTTTGCTACCTGACAGTTACACTTTTTTTAAGTTTTGCTACCTGTGTGTAACTCTGTTACTGTGACGTTAAGGGGCCCCACTCCAACGGCTATTTCCCACTCCCTTTCTAATTAATTGAAATGTGGCAAATTAATTAACTCAAACTTCAATTCTTCACCCAGATTAATTCAATCGATTCACCATATCAATCTGAATCCTTTTTTGTTTTGAGAAATTTGTCGTTTGCTAGGGTTGTTGCTGACATTCGTGGTGATTTCTTCTACAAAGCAAGGTGAGTAGGTCAATTCACAATTTAATTGATGATTGGAAATTTAGGGGTAGGTTGATTCCCAGTTGATACTCTCAATTGGGCATGATAATTGTATTTGTTAGTGGTTAGGAAAGTAACTGCATCTAAATTTGGTTTGTAATTGGTTTATTTTGTTGTTAATTGCATTGTTGATTGTTGGAGTTAATTAGGGTTCTTTTTGTTACCCAATTTAGGGGTTTTGAATTGGGATGTGATTGGGTTAAATTGAGGCTTATTTGTGATTGTTAAGCTCATTGTGTATGTAATTGTTTATTAATTTGTTGTAAATGCAGGCTGCAATGTCAATGGTTAGGTTTTCTCCCTCAAAACAGAGGAAGTGTGATTGTGGGATTCCTATGGGGAAGTTGACATCATGGACTAGAGAGAATCCTGGTCGGAAGTTCAAAGCATGCAAATTTTATGATCCCTAGACAGAAACAAGGGGTTGCAAGTGTTTTGATTGGGTTGATGAGGAAGATTGCACTGATTGGCAACGCGACGTAATCAATCAACTCTTGTTGGACAAGAAACTGATGAAAGGAGAGATCTTGGAGCTGAAATCTGAGCTTGAAGACTTAAGAGGCCAAAGGTGTTTGCTAAATGAGAATGACAACCTCCTATTGAAGTGCAATGCTCTAAGTTCTGACAGAAGGATTACAGCAGTGAAGGGCAAAAAATCAATCTTGGTGGATGCAAAGCTGCAGTAGGTTGTGTTCTTTGTGTTGTGTTAGCCATAGTTGTTGTATTTGTATGCAAATGAGATTATGTATTGTGTTATGTATGAACCTTTTGGATGTATGTGGGTTTGAAAAAAAAAAATTCCTCAATGATGTATTAAGCCTAGGATGTAAACTCTTTATATCTAATGAATTAAAGCTGAGAAGCTGTTATTACCACAAAAAAAAAAAAAAAAAAAAAAATAGTCTGCTTTTGATCATATCCAAAGAAGCACAGTTAACATGCATAATATTGGTTCTTGTAATATCAAAATAAGCACAAATGTGCATACAAAAGACCAAGTCTGCACTTGGCACAAAAGTGAAATATACACTGACTTATCCTGTTCATCACAGACTTAATGATCATGATAAAAAGTGGAGTTTTATGGTACTGTCGTTACAACTTTAACTTAAAAAAAAACACCATGTAGCCTAGTTCTTCTTCTGCTTCCCCTTAACTTTGTGGCTGGTCTGCTGCTTAGGTAATGCTGCTGTTGTTGATGCTTGTGATGCTTGGGTGCACGCTGCATTGTCTTGAGAGGTTGTATGCTGTGTGATAGTGGCAGGCTACTTGGGATTCTTGGTTGCAATGCTGTTAGGCCCAGGAGTTCCACCAGTCTGTCATACATACACACATCAAAAACACATAAGGGACAAAATACAAACAAGTCAAGACCATATAAACTGTAATATATGACTGTGTGAATTTCTGACCTTACTAGCAGCTCTTAGCTCCTTTTTCCTCCTTTGCTCAATGTTCCAAGGATCATTCAGAATAGGCTTGGTGGCTGGACCCTTAGGAGTGCACTTTGGCTGGTTGGCACAAGTCTTGGCATAATGACCAACCTGTCCACAGTTGCTGCACTTTTTTCTGGTTTTTCTGAGTTTTTACAGGTCTGTCAGCTTCTCCCTCACCTCTCTCCTTCTTTCTCTTCTTGGACTTTGGCCTTCCAGGCATTACTCTTATTGCTGGAGACAGTGGCTCACTGAATCCTTGCTTTTCCCAATGTTTAGGTCCTGACATTGGCTTCACAGGCTCCTCATAGGCATACATGTAAGTCTGCCTATGGTAATACATATCCACAAAGTCTTCAGGGTCCACTCTCTTGTCCATTAAGCAAGCAAACCCATGTACACATGGGATCCCAGTGAGTTGCCAATGGTAACATGTGCAAGTCCTCATAGCTAAGTCCACAAGCACTGAGTCTCCATTTAGCTCAACCTCATATGAATCTGCCCTTGACACTTGCACTATACAGTGCCTTGCAACTCTCTCAATTTTGTCAAATTTTTTTGACACATAGGGCATTAATTTCCCATCCAATTTTTGTACAACCTCCCTTTTGTCATTGTGTCTCTTCATGACATACCTCCTCAACCACTCCATCTGAGTGAGTATTGGCTTGTCCCTAGCATCTCTTATTACAACATTGAATGTCTCACAAATATTGTTCAGAAGAATATTTGAATTGCATTGAGATGGGAAAGCATGCCTAGACCAATGCCTAGGAGGTATATTATCTAAGTACACATAAGCATCTTCAGACAGAAACCTTATGGACTCCATTGCTATTTCAAAATCAATCTAGCAAAACAAACAAGCTGAGCTAAGTACTAATGACATGAGAATCAGCTATGCACAGAACCAGAACAAACACATGAAACCACATGAAACACATAATTCAGAAGGAACTCAGAGCTGCATACAGACACATCAAAGGCAACATTACATTTGAATTGTGGTCTGAATACAACCACATCAAAGCCAACAGTTCAAAACAACTCAGACCTGATTATATACAAAAAATACAGAAAATTACAGAAAAAAATACTTAGAAGCAAAAGACATCAGTCAGCCTATGACACACACATATAAGCCATAGAAATCAGTTCCCAATCTTAAACAATTCAACTCCATCAGAACAGAAATATAAGCAACAGAAAAAAAAATGCAAAAAATACAGAAAAATACAAAAACTGAACACACTCACAGCAGTAGTTGCCCTTGCAGCATTCCAGAAGAGCTCTTTGAAGGTTGAGCCTGTGAATTGCAGCTTAAAGTTGGCCCAAATATGCCTCACACAGTTTCTAACTTCCTTTTCCCAGTCATCCATGTCTTACCCTTCTCTTTGAACCACAGCACATAAATGTTAGGCACTTCCCATCCTATGTCAACAATACCTTGAGCACACAAGTACCTTAAATAGCCAACTGTTACCCACCTCATAGGAACTTCCCTTTTCCAATAAGTGAAGGCAGCCTCATAGACTAGGTACTCCACACCATTTCTTGTTTTATACACAAAACCCCCAAATATTCTAAGCTTAATACCAACTAGATCACCAACAAAATCAACCTCAGTTGCCATGTGTTAAATCTACAGCACATTACCAATAAACAAATACACTAATCAACAACTAATGACAGCAATGTATACACTATTCAAGCAAGACATAAAGTAAGACAATTACTTTACAAAACAGACATGCAGCAATTAAATTAATCAATTAATTAGGTCAAACAGCATAATTTATCCTAATTTAATCAAAATCGCATAATTCTAGGGTTTACTGCAGATTCCCCAATTAAACCTCCATTTACAAAAGTAAATGCACAATTACCACCATTTTTGGACCACATTTTGAGGATAGGAGTTGCGTACCTTATAGTCAAGCCTAGTCAGAAGAATCTTCCAACAATGGTGATGACGAATCGATCCACCTAGACGTCCTCCCCTGCTTTGCTGTTCCAGTTAAATCCCTCCACGCAAGCTTGCTCAACCTCCAAAATGAAGATAAGATTTCAATAAAAAAGTGACCTTGCTGACAGATGAGAGAGAAAGAATCGAGTGAAAAAAAAAAAGCTTCAATGGAGTAAATTTGAGGAGTTGAAAGAATTCAATGGAGTGAGATTAGAGTGAGAAAGAGAGTAAATGGGAGGCAGGGGGTAGTTTCGTGGAGAGAGAAGAGAGAAAAGGGAGGTTAGTTAGGTGAGTGGGGTCCATTTAACGTCTACAGTAACAGAACCGTTAAAAGGTAGCAAAACTTAAAAAAAGTGTAACTGTTAGGTAGCAAAATAAAATAAAAATTTTCCGAGGTAGCAAAAGTGAAATTAATGTGTTTGTGAGGTAACAAAAGTCAAATTTTCCAATAATATGATCAAAAGAAAATTCACAAATTTTTTGAATGTCTAACAATTCTTAATCGATCCTACAAAAAACAAGCATTTGAAAGAAGTAAAAGATACGGGATAAATGGGTTAATGCCACGGAGACCAAGGCCTGTAATTTTCATCATTTGGCCTACTGTCCTACCTTTTATAGGGTGGCATTTGACTGTGCAAATTTCTTATTCTTAACTTTTTTTAAACTACCAATAAAAAAACAGAGAAAAATTTACTCAAAACTGAAAAAATGTCTTAAAACATCACACTTCACTACTTGTCCCTTCACTAGGCTAAGCTAAGTTCATTTTTTTTTTTTTTTGGAGGGGGCTAAGCTAAGTTCATAAATATTGACAAACTTGTTGTCTTCCAATCTTCAACATTTTAAAATCCAATCGGTTGTTAAAAAAAAAAAAAAAAAATCCAACCAAGAAAAATGATTTCTTTCCAAAAACATTGGCCTAAATTTTGTCATATGATATGGAAAATGATATGAAGAATCATAGTGATTATTTGGTAAGTTTTTTATTTGATTGTCTCTTTCTTTTTTTGCTTATTTTGGTTTAATGCTTTCTTTGACGCCCATTATTCTCTTCAATCTTATTACATGCATTCTTACTTCTTAGCATGTGGTCCAAGTTTTTTATTCCTTTATTTTTTTTTTAGTACACAAAGTTAATTTGATAATTTTAGTTAAAACCCTTTAATCTAATACACTAATTTGCCAATTATATAGCCAAATTGCTTGATTTGTTTGGTGTACTCGTAATCTCGTATATCTTTACAACATTTACTTAAACTTTACTTTATGAAGTAACATGTATATTAATATACATTAATCGTTCTATCTCAGGATTTAGCATTGATGAATATTGCCTAAAGAAATCATGGGTGTTAATCAAAGAAATCGTATAACACCTAAAAAAACGACCGAATTGTTATCCAAAAGAGAAGACAGGATTAGTAGTTTACCAGACGAAGTATTAGGTAGAATTCTATCTTTACTTCCTACAAAACATGCTGTTGCTACTACTATCCTTTCATCAAGGTGGAAGAACCTTTATAAGCTTATTAGTACTCTTGATTTTGATGATTCGATTACTTTTAGTTCTCGAGATGATTCGGGAAATAAGCGAAAGAAGGCTAGTTTCAAGGGATTTGTGAATGAGATGTTGTCGCGGTGTAAGATGTCTTGTATTACCAAGTTTCGGCTTAAATGTGGGTGTTACCAATACAAGAACTCTTTGTTGTGTGATTGGATTAATGCTGCTTCTTTTCATCATAAGGTAGCTGAATTGGAAGTATCGATCAATATGTCATTCACTTGTAGAGTGCCTTGTGTACTTAATCTTACTCAATTGACTTGTGAAAGTTTGGTGGTTCTGAAGTTGGATTGTGGGTTTGTATTGTGTGTTTCGAAATCATGTACATTTCCGAAGCTGAAAGTTCTTTTTCTTGAAGGAATTATGTTCCAAGAAAATGGCTTAAGTCGGTTTACTAACTATTGTCAACCTTGTTTGGATGATTATCATGGTCTTAATGGGATTCTGTTTGGTTGTCCAATGCTCAAAGAGTTGGTGATAAACGGGTGTGATTGGAATGGCGGTAATCTTTACTTTTCTAACCCTTTGCTTCGAAGGTTGACACTTGATTCTGGAATGACTGGACCTCTAGACCAACACAATAGCTCTATGATCTATTTTAACTTGCCGAGTTTGGTTTACTTTAGCTACTCTGATGGCCTAGCAGAGCGATATGAATTCAGAAATCTGAGTAGTATCATTGAGGCTCGTATTGAGATTTGTTTTAATGATGATGAATTTGATGATCAACAAGATCTTTGCGATACTATTCTTGATCTTATAACCGGGGTTAATAGATGTCGGTCCTTGAACTTGTCCCGTCAATGCTTGGAGGTACATTTACAATTGCTGAACTTGGTTTTGCAGCGTTTGCATTTTTCTGAAATTTTACTTTGTTTTGATTGTTTGAAGGCTCTTACTAGTGGTGAATTCGAACTGCCTATCTTTAGTTATTTGACTTGTTTGGACCTCGCTCTTGGACATGAGGTTAGCTGGAATGATGTGCTGCTAGACTTTCTCAATAGCTCTCCTTGTTTGCAGTCTCTTACCTTGGAGCAGGTTGTTCTATATATGTATCGAAAATTTATTAGATTACTTGTGGTAGATTCAATTCTAATATACAGCCTTTTTCGGTACCTAGGGGTTCCTAAGATGCACCTACATTCTGCAAGATGGAGGAGACTTTTTGCTAGATGGTGAAGTAGATGACGATTTCTTGCTAATGGAAGAAGTGGTGCCGCCTTGTGTTTATTCTCGGCTGAGGTTTATCAACATCAAGGAATTCAGAGGATTCACAGGGGAGATGCAATTGATCATGTATTTCCTTGCGAATGCTCATCTTTTGGAGGAGATGGTCATACACTGGGATCAAAGAATAAGACAAAGGGACTCAGTTGCTAAAGAAAAGAAAATATTGGAGTTGCCAAAGTCCTCTACATCCTGCTCAATCGCATTTAAGTGATGCAATATACTTGTCCGGTTGGAATTAGTTGTCACATTTATAATGTATTTTGAACAAGTAAAATGTGACAACTAAATCCTGACAGAGTTGCTATTTCTTTTGGTACTTACTTTTTGAGGATCGTCTGCCATGTTCTTCCTATATTTTGTGCCCTGAGGTCTATATTGCTCGGTGAAGTGGTTACTGTGTTTTGTCACATGATCCGTGCATAAACACAACTTTCCATGATGCTGTGATCTTAGAGCTTCCCCTTGGAGGTTCAATTGTGACTAATTTCGTGCATATGTTAGAGATTTCAGGTCCTGCTTGCTTCCCCTTGGAGGTTCATTCATGACTATTTTTGTGTATGTGAGTTCAGGGCCTATTAGTTAATTTTTGCTGTGATATATTGATGTATGCACCATTTGAATGCTCTGTAAATATGTGTCACATCTTTGAAATTATGCTGGAATTAATTTTGTCTAGGAAAGCTACCTACTGAATTACAGTTCACAGTGGCTGATTTTTTCCATCTTTTCTCTAGTAAAGTGGCTATTTCTGGAATCCTCAGGTGCATACTGCATAGGCAGTCAGAACCGTAGAAAGTTGTTTATTTATTAAGGTGTTAAGTGCTCTTTTATAAATGTGATTAGTCTTGATTCTTGAATGCCATTACAACACAACCTACTGTGAGTAAAGACATTGTCATATGATTATTTTCAGTTTAGTTCATTTCAATTCAGCTCTTATTTTTTTTTCTTAGAAAATATTCAGTTTAGTTCAGTTCAATTTAACTCTAATAAGTTTAATTCAGTTCAGATCAACTCAGTTTATTTCAGTCAATGAGAATAGACCGTAAGTAGGATAGTTTAAGTTTTAAGAATATTTTTTGTTCACTTATTTGAAATCATCTTACAATGTTGAATTTACCATCTAATCTTTCGTCTATAATAATAGTGGATCTGGTTGTAAAATCATAATAGCCGAAAGTGAAGTTATTTTAAACTTAAATTATCTTATTTTCCTAGAGTTAACATATTTAATCTTATTTTAATTTGAGTTTGATGACCATAAGCATACTCATTACAGTCATAATATCTATCCCAGAGTAGGAAGAATACTTGCAAAGAGAGTAGAAGTTTGTTTTAACTGTGAAAGGTGACACCTAACTTGAAGAAGGCGCACACGCCAAACAAGTTGCATTATTGTCATTTTTTTTATGGTTAATAACTTAATTTTAATAAGTAGTTCCTTCTCTTCTCATTCAATTCTACTCCATAGTGTTTCACACATCTGAATGTACATTATCTAACAAGATCTCACAAGATATTTCTAATAGTGTAAAAATTAACATGATAAAGTCAATAATATCATTAATGAATCAAACTCGTAACATATTTTATAGGCCTCGTTCGAATGCAATGAGAATTAACTTCCTATGGTAATTATAATTCTTGATGAATTATTTTCCTTATCTAATTTCTCGGAAATTACTTTATTTTGTTTCATTTAGTATTGAAAAAATATATAATTCTATTTATATGATTCTAAAAGTTTTTCTCATTTATGATCTAGACACCATTCATATTTCATACGATAGTGTCTTCCAAATTACTCTTGTTCTATAAATATTCATGTCGAGTCTTATTTAATTCGTATTGTATATATTCTAAATTACTCTTGTTCTATAAATATTCATGTTGAGTGTAAGTTGATTATCTCAACGAGTACATTATTAATATCTAATTGTTATAAATTTTTTTTATACAATATGTACTCGTAACTAATTAGAAATAGACAACGTGAATTATATACACGGACATGGGTAAATTAAATACTCCGTACAAGTATCAATAAATTTCTCATCAATATTGTACTTTTTTTAACCTAAACATTCAAAGAACACAAACTTTTAAATAAAACGAATGTTCAGTAAATTACTGAATATCCGTTATAAAGTGACAATAAAATGTGCAAAAGTTACATATCTCTAGTTTAAAAGGCACTCCCTATAACATTTTATAAAATCATGGAAAAATAATTGTAAAAATAAACTCATTAGTCAACGAAATCAACCCTTGGCAGAGTTGGCACTGTAGCAAGGCTTAAAGAAGGAAAAGATACGGGAAAAATGGGTAAACAACACGTGTACCAATACATTTCTTTTTCATCATTTAGCTTACTCTACACTGTCTAAAAGTAAGGCGGCATTATTTTTCAGTTTTTTACATTTTTTTTTCACTTCTTTTAAACCGCCATTTCTTAAATAAAGGAGTATAAATAAAAAAATAAAATCTGTTCACATTCACTCAACAGTAAGACTACTGTACTGCATAAGTATTGACATTTGACAAGATTGACATCCCCTTTCTTTATCTTTTCAACTTCTTTTTTTTTTTTTTATTTTTTTTATTTTTTATTTTTCCTTTACTTTTCATCAAAATTTAAAAGTAATCTTTTCAACTTCCAATTTCAACATTTTCTGCACTACTTTCTAAGGTAATAAATAAAGCAGTCAAATTCTTCTATTTTTTCTTTTACGGGAAAGATTTAGTTGAAGAATTGTTCAATATTGTAAGTTTCTTTTGATTAATTCTATATCCTTTCTTTTTTAATTTTATGTTAATTTTGCAATGATAATTTGATTGAAAATGTTAATTTGCTTTTGATTTTTGTTCAAACCCTTTTTTTTTTTCGGTAAACAGAGAAGATGATTTGATGGTATGATTTGTAGTTTTTACCCCATTTAGTTAAGAGAGGTGTGTTAGCTTTTTGCCTATTTTAGTTGTAATTAATTGATGCATATACTATATTGATGGAGTATATATGACCAAGAAATTGTCTTTTTTCACTGCAATTTACATATTTGTCTAACATTGTTAGTGTCATAGTGTCCATTATACACCCGGGTGTAATTTTACATCGTTTCACATTCTCGATGTACCATAGAAACATGTAAGAATTTGAATTATCATGTTTATAAACGTGAATTGTGTTTGACATTCAGGGTTTGATGAATACTGCCTAAAGGCTAAAGGAAACATGGGTGAAAGTACAAGAAAGTGTAAAACTCGTAGAAATTCGGGGAATTCATCCGAAAACAAAGACATAATCAGCAGTTTACCTGATGAAATATTAGGTCGAATTCTATCTTATCTTCCTACTAAATATGCTGTTGCTACTACTGCTCTTTCATCTAGATGGAAGAACATTTACAAATTGATTAGTGTTCTTGATTTTGATGATTCGGTTTCTTTAAATTCTCGAGATGATTTGGGAAATGAAAGAAGTGATAATGCTAAGTTTAAGGAGTTTGTGAAACAGATTTTGTCACAATTTGAGAGGTCACACATTAGTAAGTTTCGGCTTAAATGTGGGAAGAATATCGAGTATTATTTGTTATATGAATGGATCATTGCCGCCTTTTGTCACGAGGTTGATGAATTCGAGTTATCAATTGATATGCCAATACCTTGTGTGCTACAACTTCCTCAGTTGTTCTGTGAGAATTTGGTGGTGTTGAAATTGGATGGTAAATTTATACTGCGCGTCTCAACATCAGTAACATTCCCTAGACTCAGAGTACTCTTCTTTAAAGAGGTTACATTTCATGGATATAGCTCGATTCGTTTCAGTGCATACTATGAGTCTAGTCTGAACTACCATGACTTAAATGGGATGTTGGCGCGTTGTCCATTGCTTGAAGAATTGGTGATAGATGGGTGTGATTGGAATGGTTTAGATCTCTACTTCACTAATCCCTTGCTTAAAAGATTGACACTAATTGATGGTTTGAGTGGACCTATTGATCAGCTTAATGGCTCTATAGTTCACATTGACTTGCCAAAATTGGTTTACTTTAAGTACTCTCAATGCCTAGCTGAACGATATAGTATCAGGAATCTAAATTCTGTTATGGAGGCTCATCTAGTCGTGTGTTTTAACGATGATGACTACGATGATGAACAAGATCTTTGCAATGCTATTCTTGATCTTATCACCGGGATTTGTAGTTGTCAGTCCTTGTACTTGTCTTCGCAATGCTTAGAGGTATTATTTTGAATGTTACTCGTTACTTGTGATCAAGTAGCATTTGCATTACTAAATTTAACCTTTTCTTTTCTTGTTTGAATGAAGGCTCTTACAAGTGGTGATTTCGAACTGCCTATCTTTCGCAATATGACTCTGTTAGACCTCACCCTTGGCCAAGATGTCAGTTGGAGTGAGGTGCTATTAGACTTTCTATATAGCTCGCCATGTTTGGAATCTCTTACCTTGGCACAGGTTGTGCTATTTACTGATTTTTTTGTGATAAAGTTCATATTTTTCCTTGATTATTTACTAGAGATTCTGATTTATACTCACATACAGGGAGTTGCTAGATGGAACCCTAGTCTAATTGATGGAAAATTCTTGCTCAAAGCTAAAGCAGTGCCTTCTTGTGTTAAATCCCGACTGAAGTTCATTAACATCAATGATTTTAGAGGGTATAAAGAAGAGATACGAATGGTGAAGTATTTTCTTGATAATGCTCATGGTTTGAAGGAAATGGTGATATGCTGGGATCGGCGATCAAGGAAAGGAGACTTAATTTACAAAGCAAAGGAAATATTAGAGCTGCCGAAGTCCTCAAAATCCTGCTCAATTGCATTTGAATGATGCATACTTAATGTTGAAATCGAGACAACACTAGATGAGGTACTTGGATTTTGAGTCTGTATGTCATTATTTTGCTACTTTTTGTTTGCTCTAATTTGATTTGTGTAAGTGGTTGCAATGTTTTGCCATGAAATCTGTGAATTAACATTGTAACAACTTACCATAATCTTGTGAGCTTAGACTTATCTGCTATTCCTCCCTTTTGGCTAGTTATTCATCCGATGCATATGCTGTATTGATCTTGGGGGCTGATAGTCGCAAGTATTGGTACCATGTTTTGATGTATACTGCACTAGAGTTGGATTTTCTCGAATTTTGTTAGTATTGGTACCATATTTTGATGTATACAACATTTCAATGCCCTGGTGAATTTGTTCGTTTCATCTTTGAGATCACTTTGGAATCAGTTGGTGTCTATATATGTACATATAACATATCTTGGTCTTATTACAGATTCGAGTGGTGGCTTTACGAGTGTTTGACTTGATGCTTCTGCTGCATAGCAGATCACATAATTTTCGTCAAAGTTTTGGATGGAAAATTTTGTTGTTGTTGTTAAGTCTAAGAGAAGTAAGCAACTACTGTGTGTTTCCTGTAGTTTGTTCTCCCAAAACGGATTAGAATTTATTTGTGAAACTGCTCTTTATATTGGATTTTTTACGAAACTGAGCCCTATTAGCAAACTATTTACGAATATAGACGCGTGGCCAAACTATTTACGGAATTGAGCTTCTGAGGCAGATCGGTCAGCTTTTTACCTCTGTTATTATTTTTTTTAAAATTTCTTATTTAGTGAAATACAAATTTTTTTTTAAAAAAATATGGAAATACATAAAAACGCTGCCTCAGTCAGCGTTTTTGTCTCAGGCTGTAACAGCCCTTAAAATGCTGACTGTTTTTCCCGGTATATTTTTCGCGCACTCACTCTTCCTCAAAACTAAAAACTCAAACTCACTCTTCCTCACGCAATAGCCTATCTTCCTCAAAGCTCTGCCGTCGCCGTCGCCGCCGCTGCCTGCTGCCTGCCGCCGTCGCCGCCGCCTATTGCCTGCCGCCGTCGCCGCCGCCTATTGCCTGCTGCCGCCGCGCCTCTCCTCTTCTTTATAATCACATTGTTAGTACCATCCATCCTTTGACGTGATCAGGGGATATGTAAGTGTATTTGATTAACTTATTTTTATCAATTTTAAATTTCTATATCATTCAACTAACTCATCCTTAATTACTGCAGGCGTTGGATATGACGGCGATGGTTGACGCACTGTCGGACGTCCTTCCAGGTATACCTGAGCCGCCCAGAGCACAGGTCGAGCGGGTGTGAGATATGGGCATGGCTACCTTGCAGAGATATGGTCACACCTATCTCGTCCACCCCCGGGACGATCATGGCGGCCACTCTAGTCACTCACAGTTCGAGGCTGGCCAGAGTAGCTGTGGGGGTGATCCTTCGTCATTCACGGGCGCAGAGGAGTACGACATTCGCAGTTCCGCGCCCCTACGTCATCCTGATGACCCATCTTCCAGCCAACTGACTCCGCCAGTACGCCCGAACCCATTTACTAGGTCCGTCACTACAGCCGTCGTCAAAGGCCGAGAGTGGACATACAGGATAGAGAGCCGTTACACCAAATTGATGAGTCAGAATAGGATAGAATTATCTGATTTATTTGCTGTAATGAACTTCTCTAGTTTATTGTACATAACACTTACATTACATTATTATTTGAATAATTATTTGAATGAATTTATGTCTTGTTTGAATTTCAAATTCCTTATTTGTCCACGTTTGACTCATTTCGTTCAAAATAAATTGTGGATGTGGAGGAGGATGGGTGGTGGAGGTGGTGGATGTGGAGGAGGAGGGTGGTGGAGGTGTTGGAGGATGTGGAGGAGGAGGGTGATGGTGGTGGTGGATGTGGAGGAGGGTGGTGGTGGTGGTGGATGTGGAGGAGGAGGGTGATGGTGGTGGTGGATGTGGAGGAGGAGGGTGGTGGAGGATGTGGAGGAGGAGGGTGGTGGTGTTGGTGGATGTGGAGTGGGTGGTGGATGTGGAAGGGAATTTGGTAAGAAATACGGAATGGAAGGGAAAGGATTTTGATAAGAAGGGGAAACGGTAATAAAAAGTGTTACTCTTATTTATTGTTTGGTATTATTATTATTTATTTATTGGAGTAGGAGAGCTAGCTTTGTTGGAAACGGTAATTGTTTCCTTTGGTGTTTGAGTGGAAACGACTTGGAGTGATATGTTACCACAAAGTAACGGTATTTGTTTCCCCACATGACAAACCAAACAGCAAGTAACAACTGTTACATGAATCCGTTTCTTTGATTGAAAAATGTCATACCAAACACCCCCCGGGGGTGTTCAAATTCCTCAAATGCGGCTTCAAATACTCCAACTGTGGTCTCATTTGGTGTTTGGATAAGCTGTTGCACCAACTTGCATATGCTAGTTTCAGAAGAGTGTAATTACCCGTCAATTTTGCTTATTTAATGATTAAATGAGGAAAAAAATACCCTTGGATAGTTGGATGCACCTAAAGAATTTGAATCGTACTTGTAGTGTAATTTTATTAAACTTTCTAGCCACCTACCCGTTAAGTAAAATTTGCCTCTTAGAATTGTACATACTTGTACCTCTCTTTTGGCTAGTTGTTTACCAGTTATCACAAGGACCTACCTGTTAAGTAGCCTCTTTATAATGGCTATTCCAGAAAGAAAACCATCATGTTTGAGCAGATTAGAGTCTTTGTTCATTGTCTCGAGACAAAGGTGAGGCAGTGATTTTATAGGGTTACATCAATGACAAGCACCACCAGCGGCACACACCTATAGAAAGCTGGCCTCGTGTAGTCGTGTTTGTCACTGTTTGGCATCTGCTACTAATTCTGTATTCTTCTATTGGAGTTATGGACTAGGCAACATATGCAGATGACTCATAGAGGATAACTTGGATGTGAATCGCGAGCCCCTTCAAAAGATACACCATAAACGTTTCAAGAAGGAAGTTAGTCTAATGTTTACGCCCAAGATGTGGAAGTAGCCATTTTGGCAAATACATTTACCCAATTATGTGAGAAGCAAAACACACTTTTTTTGTGATGCCTGCTGCTGAACCTGCAGACAAGATGGGAAGGTCGGAAGATGTCGAGAATTTTAGATGCATACTTGGACGAACATGGTAAAGGTGAGAACTGTTTCACCCAGCCATTATTGTCTGTCAATCCTCACAATCTTAATCTGTGATTTCCTTCACAAATTAACTCCAAAAAATAAACATGCCCATTACTAATATACTCACACCGTCGAATCACCCAATCATTAGACCATAGTCACCATACTAGCAACACTATGAATCAATAATAAAACACAACAAGAGGCTGATAATACGCAAGTAAAAACCTCTCTAAAACACCAGTAGGTCCAAGCTGTGTCACAAACCCAACAATACTTTTTCATGTTTATCGTAATAGGGGCTATTGGTATTGAAACCCAGTCATGTGTAACTGGATTAACCACATACAAACTCTGGTTTTATCAATCATATCCACATTAGTCTCTTAACTGGCTTATTCCAATGGCTCGATTAAGATAGGGTAAGAGTTAACCCTCTATTTGAACCAGATTTGATCGACATGTATAGATAATAGATTGACATGAAATGACTGAAATATAACATCAATCAACTATACAAGACTCATTCTGAACAAACATCAACCACCATGGAACCCAAGAAGTAGTAGACATTAGACAATGGCTCACCAGTTACCACCTTATTTAACAACAAACATCCCGTCAAAAAAATAAAAAAACAACATCAACCATCCTGGAACCCGAGACCCTGGTTTGGAAGTTGGATGGTATAATCATTTTGCCATCTGAAAGGTGGTTTCATTCATATCGACTCAACTACAATTATCTTTCTACAAAAGAAATATAGAAAGAAGCATGATACTAAGAAGGGGGTTCAATTTACATAAGCTCAATTCAATTCTAAGAGCTGAGGAGAACACCAGCATTGTGGGTTTTTAAACAGTAGTAGTACAGACAGAACTCTTCTTTATGGGTAATTCACTGCATTCTCTTACAGCATTGGTAAACCTTTTAAGATGGAACTCTAAACACAAACTAATTTGGTTTAGTTTCATGGAATTTATCTTAACATGAGAAAACTGAAACATCGAGCTACTGTAATACCAGATAACATCTTCCACAGCAAATCAATCTGCAGCATCCTTAACTCATGTGCTATGCGGCACCTACATTGTAAGTGTTGAAGCATAATGGTTTTGATGATGAGGAACTTGAACTAAAGCAAACTCAACTAATAAAGATTCTCTAGTGTGTGATTAGCTTAGGTGAAGATTGATTTTGGTGATTGAAGAAGTATCTAAAACTAAAAAGACATGAAGAAATCTTTATTGAAGAAGTTAAACAAATCAGAGGAAGACTTCTCTAACAAGAACTAAGTTCCCTAACAGGAACTTGAAAACAAGCAAGTTTAAGTTCTTTGATGGAACTTATTACACTTGGAGCCCAAGTAATCTACCTGATCAAAGTGCGGCGCAACAATAATATTTAGTTAAGGTTTTTATCTTATTAATTATTGTTAATATGTTAAGTAGGTTAGTGCACGAAATTTATTAGAAGCGTGATCAGTTTGCTTGGTAAATAAAATAAATATGGAAAAATAATAAAAGATAGATTTTAGGAAAAGATTTTCTAAAAAGATTATTTTCTTTAAATCGGTTTGTTAAAAAGATAATTCTCTTTAATAAATATCTTTTTAAACTTATTTTTCGGAAAAGATTTTATCCCACTTGATTTACATAAAACTGTGTTTAAAGATAAGTTAGGTTAACTTATTTATCTTTTAGAAAACCTACTTTCGATCTATACGAGTGTTACTTGTATAAATAGTAGTGAACAAAATGGTTTTAGGTTTTTGTGAGTTTATGCATGGAGAAATCACAATGCTATAATTGTGTAAGTTGGCCAAGCTTCTAACTTGTCATATTAGTTTCGGATTTCGTGCATTGCTTACCTATCATACTAGGTGTCATATATTTGTATTGGGTGGGTTATTTGGGTGAATTTATAGTTTGCTTTATATACAGTTTTGTGTTGGCTTCTAAGTGAAGCTGTGAGTCTTGTACTTAGGTGGTACAGGTGTTTAGTACTTTGGAAGTATAGGTAGTGCTTTGGTGGTACGAGTGAATTTAAGTGTGGTGCTTAAATTGGGTAGGATAGAGTCCTATCAAGTAGCAAGTCCAGTGAGGAACTTGTGAAATAAAGGTCTGTGTCTAATAGGTTGTAACTTGGTGTTTGCCCTATTATAGTGAAGTGGTTTGTGTTTGAAA